ATGGATTTAGCATGTGTATTTGTCATGATGTCTTTGGGGGCCATAATGCCTCCCATCAAGCAAAGTGGAGAAACGACGAAAGGGGTCCTTGGATTCTGGAAATACAAGAGGGAAAAACAATGAGCGTATCTGAAGGGCTGGGGAAACGGAACATTTTCCACCAGCTTTACAAATGAAGGCGGCTTCCTCAGAACCAAACACGGAGTAGGGAGCGCTCCACTTCCTGGCATCACCCCGCAGTCCGGCCGCTAACCATCCCGAGTAAGAATGCTCTCCTTCTCTGGATTCCAATAGCACAGAGTGCCCCTGCCACTTGGCACTCATCACCAGCACTCAACTGTATTGTCAACAGAAACTACACGGGCCCTGCAGAGCATCACAAGGCTCTTGTCTGAAATGATAAAACGGTGGAAAAATAAAATTGCTGAAAGGCCTCTCTCACTACGATTGAATATCCATAAGCAGATTAAATGGGTAAATATCTAGAGGATGGAAATCCATTGTGTATATATACATATATTTTTTTAAAATATATTTTTATTGAGTTCAGACAGGAATGGAGAGGGAGAGATAGAAACATCAATGATTAGAGAGAATCATTGATCGGCTGTTTCCTGCACGCCCCCTCCTGGGGATCAAGCCTGCAACCCAGGCATGTGCCCTGACCAGGAATCGAACCCAGGACCTTTCAGTCCCCAGGCCGATCGATGCTCTATCCGCTGAGCCACACCGGCTAGGGCAATGTGTATATATTTTTCTATCACAGCAGGTGTACAATATGTAGTAAATGAATGCAAAAAAAGAATTGGGTATTCAACTTAGAGCAGTAAAAGCCAGAGCCAGCAAAAATAAACTTTTTCCCAAAGAAGTATGTAGAGAATTATGTATGAAGATTTCCAAATAAACCGGGACCCAGTATCTACACTGGACTAGGGGGCCATGCAAGCGTGTGTATGGACTTCCACTTGGCTAAGCTAGGAACCGTCTTTCAGGGAAGGGTCCTCCTCCTCTCCATCATCCGCGATGTCCATCCACACCAGCAAACCAGTATTTGTAGAAATTCTTCTGTACTGAGACAGAGCCTTACGAGGACAGACACTTACCCAAACTCACTACTCGTTTTCTGCCACAGTCAGTCACTTGCAAAGCTCACCGGGCGCATCAGTTAAATGAACTCGGCAACAGATTCCACACTGAAAAGAAGTCGGTGTCAGAAGTACCTTCTCGATTACTGACAGGCTGTAGTCACTCTGCATTTTCCTTGAACGACAGCTTGTGGGGAATGAAACGGGGTGGTCACGAAGAGGCTCTCTCTTATTTGGGTTCCAACCCTTTCACAGAGGATTCAAGAAACAAAACAAAACAAAAACACAGCCCACGAGCCCGCAGCTCACAGCCGTGACTCTGAAGAGCAAACAGGCCCCTGAATCCCCACCAGGGCCGTCCAGCCCGTGCCGCGCAGCTCCCCTGACCACCCCCCGCAGCCCCGCGGACCCAGGTGACAGCGAGTCACAAGCGGATGATGTTCCAGCTCCGGGCGCAGCTCTGCAGACCGGGGAGGGTTAGGGTCTGAACGAAGCCCGTTTGCAGGGGCTCCCACCGGGCTCGGCCTGGACTGGGCGGCACCATCTCAGGGTCAAGCCGGGCCGCCCTGGTGCAGCGTGGGGA